GCATGCGTAAATATATTATGTGCATACGCATAAAATTTATAGCTTTGAGGTCCGAATTATAGATCATTCCAGATTATGGACGTTCGGATTAAAGACTTTGTATTGTAATTGGTCATATTCGAAAGAAGATAAGTGACATTTATGTTTTACTAACAGTTAGCTTTATGTTGATTTTTTTTTATGTCTCATTTTTTTACATACTTGATCAGTCTAGAGGTTTAGTAAATAGCAGGTAGATTTTATGTCCAACGGCATATGTTAAAATGAGAAATAAGATCATAATCAGCATGATTCATAACAAAAGACCGAATGTTGTCACCGCTGCTGACTGTCTAGAGAGAGACCTGCTGATTAGAACAAACCTGAAACACCTGATGTAGACACGGTTGGGTCAAGTTTTGAAAGTTAGTCAAGCTCTGTTTGATGCAGTTAGTGTCGTAGCTTCGTGTAATCTGGCTCAATAACTCTATCATATGAGGAAATAGAAAAGGGAAATTATAGTAAAGGTTGAAATCATAAACAATTGGGTAATTTACATAATAACTGCACATATCTTTGAAGAATAATTTTCTTTATGTATTTAGTTTCTTTCTTCAACACGTTTCCTTTTCATTTTAGGATTTTGGGATTTAATTAAGGATTTCTGTTATTTTATAAAACACTAAATGCATTTAGAATGTACAGAAAAAGCTGCTAATTTAATTTTTTTAGTAAAATTAACATTCAGAAGAAATATGAAATATATATATATAGTAAAGGCCGGTTACAAAGCTGATGTGGCAGAATTTCTAGATTTAAGTGACGCACCAAACAACAAAATCTAGAAATGGCAAAATGTTTAGAATTTATAGCAGGCATTGGAGGCAGAATTTAGAAAGACATCAGGCAGCATAATTTAGGATCCACAGAGGTGGAAAATGCTACATCAGGTGGGAAAATGCCTAGTGCCAGCTCTGTGTATGATACATTAAGACATAGTAGATGAATCTTTTAAAAATGTAAGTTTTTCAATTTCTTTATTAATAAAAAAATGCCTTTCTATAATGCTTGCCCATGTGATAAGATAAGAAGCATTTTTGATATTTTCCATGTTTGTGGCTGGTGAAAAGTAGAGAAAATAAAGGGAAGATTAAAATGTTAAGATTCTAGTATCAGAAGTAAAACATTCAAGTATTATGTTTTCATTGTTCTTCCAGACATTCTCCAAAAAGTATTCTTCATCACAAACTTTCTGTAAAATACATCCATTATGTGTTGACACCAAGGAGACATTTTTCATTTTGTCACATATTTTCGAATCTTCTAGAATCGTGGGTCTATAAATCTTGCCTTCAAATTCTTCTAAACTTTTCCAAGCTGCAATGTCTAAAATCCTAAAGAAAAATTATCCTTACCCTTTCTGCAACAGCAAAAAACCACAAATATTTTGGGAAAAAAAAAGGGGGGGGAAAGTATAAAATTAATTTTATAGAGAAAACTGATGCACATTCTGAGAATTTTGAATACTCTGAGACAATTTACATGGGAAAAACTCTTACTGTGAAAAAATTAAAAACAAGACATTTTTAATTAATTACATAGCTAATTTTGCTTTTGCTAAGAGCTGTTTTGTAAATTGTGCTTTATAGCATCATACCTTGTTTATTTTGCAGATTCAAAATAGTGTATTATTATTATTACAACTTATTAGTTGCCAAACTGAACCTTTATAACATGACAGCGAAAAATTTTTTTTATTTTAATGTTATTTTTTAAATATAATTTCAATATAAATTACCGTTATTTTAATGAAATTTATCAATGTTACAATGTTTTAAAAAAATCGTTGAAAAATTCTCAGATCCCGGAATTAAAAAGTTTCTTTACAAACTAATCTTAAAATCGCCAAAATGTTGAAACGTCACCAAATTTAGAACCGTTTAATAAAAGAATTCACTCCCTAAAAGCGAAAAGTTGTTTAAGAGCTCTTTATTAGAAAAAATGAATTTCGAAATGCTTATGTTTCACTTCTTTCTTAGAAACTCGAGTATCCCATGATTTATATTAGAAATAGAAATAAATTAAAACTCATGAACCCATACGGCAGTGAATCGCTAAATGTATTCCTCCAAAATGCTAATTTACACTCAAAATGGCAGTCGTAAAAACAGACAGAAATTTCAGATGATTATAATGAAGGACCTTCTGCTGATTTTGGCCCAAATTAAGGACATTTTAAGGACCAAAAATCGATTCCTAAAAATCTAAGGACTTTTAAGGACCGTACGAACCCTGCAAACTGGCAATTTAAGTTAGGCCAAATACTTCCATGAATTGAAGGGATCAAGAACCAATGCAGAGCACTAAAGAACTCATTCTGATTAAACATTTTCACTAATTCAATTTTGAGTGAAAAGCAATTTAAGCAGTAAAATTGATAAATTACTTGAGTAATTGTCCGCGGACACCCTCGTGTTTATGCATTTTAATTCAAAACTATTTGTAAAAAATTAATCATTAGAAATTGGCATTATGAAATAGAACTCAAAGTAATTGAAATAAACATTAGAAAATTACGAAATATAAGAAATATAATGCAATCTTTGCAAAAACAAATCAAAAAATAAAAATTTAAATTTAAAATATATATAATAAGAAAAGGGAATGTACATGAAGATATAAAAGACCAGAAAAAGCATTAATTAACTTACGTTCTTTCTAGTGGGAAGTGGGCAAGTGTTCTCTTTGCGCCTTACTCAGAAGGGTCGTGTTTCCAAAATTCTTTATCAGCAGCGGGAGCTTTGAATGATTTCAGTCGGCGAAACTTGTGTGAAGTAATTTATGGGAGAGGGAGTGACTAGGAATTCTTGAGGGACATTTGTTGTGGAGTTCTTATTTGAGTGACACCGTCTATTAAAATTTTTGAATATACTAGTGAATGGAAATTAATTAATTTCTGGATAATTGTCGTGTCATAACAAGGAAGAAATTAAGAAAAGGGAAAAAGGAATTTTCACTGTCAAAGAGCTATTTGACAAACTAAAGATTATGAAATAAGCCCATTTTTTTTAATAACAGCATAAGTCTGAAGATAATTAGCTTTTTACATTATATACAGCTTTAATTACACTACGTACAAATCCTTCAACTGATAGCCAGTTTGGCATCGCCTTATTATTTGAGTAACGGACGAAACACCTTCGTATTTATTTCTTAATTATTGTTCATTGAACGAGAGTTGGTTTGTTCCCTTGAAAAGTCAACTAATTTCCAATCAATGGCAATGATTATTTGCTTTTAATTTAATTTCTTTTTACAATTGAAATTTTGTTATTCATGATTTAATTCAAGTCCCCATTAAACATTTTTAACAATTTACATTCAAGTTACTTTAAAACAATTTTTGGAATTAAACTTGCTAACTATGGATTCACTCTTTTTAGATAATTCTACTAAAATTAATCTTAGGAGATAGTATAATGAATATTTCTTTAGTAAATAAATTATTATGTAATATATACACACACAGAGGAGCATGTTGAATTTAGTTTAGAAATTTTGCTGTAGCACGATTTTGACTTAACAACTTCAGAAATTCTTATTTCTTAAAATTTCAATCTTCTGGAGAATTTATAAAACTGTTATGTACATACACCTAAAAATACAGTTGATAGTAGAACAATGCAGCAATTAAAAATGCATACTACTGTCAAAAGTTTGAAAGAAATCTACACATAAATTTTTGATTCTAAAAAAAAAAAAAAAAAAAAAAAAAAAAAAAAAAAAAAAAAAATTTGCTTAATATTGACCTTACCTGTACCATACACAATCACTAAATACACATGCATGTTTATACCATATTTGTATAATAAAGAAAGCAGTGGGGATGAAGAATTTCTTCAGAAAATCACAAGGATGTTAAAATATGTTTATAATGATGTATGTATTATTATATTCAACAACACCTACGTTAACACCTTGTTATATGAAAAAACACTTAAATCATCAGTATTGGTTAGTACTAGCTCATGAAGAAATACTAAATACTGTACATGTTATATGCATTTTTAATATGCATCAAAGATAAAATACTTATGAAATATACCTTCCTCTTATTTTATGATAGTAAACATTACCTATAAATATTCTATGCACACAAGTTTTTTAAACTTTTGTATATCTCTAAAAATTTAAAATTTTCTTATATATTCCCCCCTCCTCTCTCAAAACACTTACATACGTGGAGCTGTGCAGTTTAAATCCACATGCATATTTAAAAGTCCTTCATATATGCTTTTGAAGCATTACAGGAAAAATGCTATATAGTTTTTAATCTTATTACCATGAAAAGCATAAATATGCATATTCAGAAATTTGCCAAATCCTAATAAATGACTCCCATACGCCAACTCTATACATGAAAGGCATATATGTATTTTGTAAAATTTTCCAGTATAACACATTTCATGAAACTGGATATATTACTAAACTGTTTCATAGTGCATTTCAATACAAAAAACACAAAAGTATACTGTATACATGAAAGGCATATGTATACACTTTGTAAATTTTCCAAGTATAACACATTTCATATTTTACTAAACTGGATATAAAAAGAATAGCCAATAAAAAAAATCTGAAAGGTTTCAGATTCTAAATTATGTTCAAATGGGACAAAGCCCCTTTAGACATAAAAGAAAAAAAAAAAAAAAAAACCTTTGCCAGAAATGCTTTGGAGATGTAGTGTTGCATTTGACAGCAGAAGTGCCATTCTCATCTTCTGTGAATTTTAGTACTGCATGTTCCTTCTACCAGTGGCATTAGACAGTTTGTCATGCTTTAAATCATAACAGTCTCTAAATTAAGTGAAGTCCTTAAGCTGAAGTGAAGCTTTGGAAATAAAGTAATTTTTGTAAAATCATTTGATGCTTTACAAATCAGATGCTTATTATTTCACAAGTATTAGATACTCTAATTTGAAGAAAATTATATCAATGTGCCATTATTTTTATTACACTTACATCAAAAAATTTCTTGCACGCTTTTTTACTGACTTCCGTAAGCATAGCTAGAGTACCAGACGCAGCTTTAGCAGTGTCTAAATCATCATCATCCGAGATTAGAACTAAGAATTTAACTCTGTCATTATTTGGGAGTTCATACAGTTTCACAACCTGAAATAAAATAAAGATTACACAGATGTATTTTTGATTTAGTAAGATTGATGAAATACTACAAAAATAAATTTATGGACTTATGAAGACATTCTTTTTATACTGTTTCATGGTGCATTTCGATAAATGAATTAGACGGAAATTTAAGTTTAAAAGATTTAGTGCACAAAGAAAGTATCAATGTGACATTAACCCATTCATGATGGGCACCTCTGTTACCAAAGCATTCTCTTGGGACGGCGCGTTAACTGATGCGTCGTCCTGTGGGGATGGGCAATTTACGCTGCTAAGCCTAACTTTAGAAAAATATTTGTATAAATGAAATTTGTCATCCAATTTTTCCAATTTTGGGTACATTATGAGAAGAATATTCAGGTAGTCGTCAGAATTAATTTTAAGCCTTTATTACAGTCAAAAGTCGTTAATCCGGACTCGTCGATTCTGGATTATCAATTTTTCCAGATTATAGATCATCAGTTTAAATCTCGTAAGATGGCATGCAGAAATTATAAAATTAAAAATATGAAACAGTAATTTATGAAATAAAGAACAATTATGATCTAAAGGGTATCAAAATTTACAAAACAAAACAAAAACATAAACAAACAAACAAACAAAAAAAAAGCTTAATATTTATTTGTTTACTTTATTAAACATTTCTTTCAATGTAAGTTGCTTAGTTTTATGTGATAATACTTTTTCTTTAATTTTATAAACAGACATAATTTCTTCTTCAGTTACAAACTTCAGCTGTTCAAGTCCTAATTGCTGTGTCGAGAATACTGACTAATTTGTCAATCGAAATTTTTTCGTTTTCAATAACCTCTGTGTCACTTTCTTCACTATCCGAAGCGAATTATAATGATGAGGAATTTGATTTAAATCATATCAAAGACGGAGTACATCGAGATGAAATACTACATTTAGTAAGGAGTTATAAGGCAAATAAAATAAAAACATCTGCCCTGAAGATAAGGATAGTGTTGACAGATCAACTTCCAATTCATTGCGCGCTGCAGAATCCCCCCCCCTCCGCCGCAGAACAGCGTGAAATTGATAAACAGATTTCGGAATGGTTAGAGAAACGAAGGATATGCCTTTATCCGTTTTTTGCAGCAATTCCACTTTTTGTTTAATGGACTTCGAAACATACTTTCACTTTGTAGATCCTTTACATATTAGTAAATATATATATCGAAAATTCTATTTGACATAATCGAAAGTTCAAGGTTACTTTTACAAAATTGCTCTAACAGTCTGCAAAAAATAATAAGCCGGATCCAATTCGAAGATTAAGGAACAACACAATCTGCAACATTAACTGAATTATATAATTTTAGCTTAGCTTATACCATCCGTTATACATTAAATGCGCATGCTTACATATTATGTGCACGTGGACACGCATATTCGCAGCCGTAAAGGCCCGTTTCCACTGCTGCGTATGTGTTGCGGTGTCTATGTGCTTATCCAATCAGCGAACGAATTCACTTTGATTGACATCTGCAATCCGGGCGATGTGCGGTGACGGATGACATACGGATGGAGTTCAACAATGTTCAATTTCTATCCATATGTCTGCGGATGCATTGTGAGTCACATGGTAAAAAAAGGAGCAATCAAGTGTTATCACCAACAAATTAATGGCGGGCAGAAGTAGCGAATGAACGCTGGCTTAGAGGAAACAATGTTTTGATAAAAAATACATTATAGTTGAATTAACATTATAATGAGAAATTTGCGTACTGAAAAAGTCAGCAATCAGATGAATTCAGTTAAAAAAAGATAAGAAAAATAAGATAACTGCAACTACAGTACTTGTTCGCAGATAAAATCAGATAAATCAGCCAAGAAATTCAGTTCAAGAAAATCAGCGGCCAAAAATTATAATTCCAAGTCCATGAAATAGCAAAATTTGTCCTGACAATTATTTCCTAGTTCTCCATACTCATTTATTTACCTTTAATAAAAATGAATGTCTGACTATATAAAACTCCTATAGCAAATTAGATATGATTAAAAGATTTGTTATTTTTTTCTTTTGAAACAGGTAAAAACTAAAAACGTTAATTTATAAATTAAATTTGATAGCCTTTTAAATATTCCACTACATTAAAGAGTATGTTAAATTTGTATTTCCCTTTATAAATATATGTTTTTGGCCAACATATATTTGTAAGCACATGAAATATATTTTTAGCAGCCCGTTTAACTTCAATCGGAACGCCACTTTAAAAGATAATGTTTTTTGTAAAAAATGTACTAGAAGCTGAAGAACACTCTGGTGAATTTTTCAGACGATAGCACACTGAAATAGGACCAAAAAATTTAGTTTTAAGAATTGATTTACTGATGATGTATATAAGCCAAAATATGCATACGTCTCCCGTGTGATGCTAGCTTAGTGGTGAAGCTGACGGTAATAAGGTTTACTTTTGGGGGTCGTGAGTTCGAATCCCATACGCTTTTTGCAACCTGTCTGCAACTTTCTCAGCTTTTTGTTCCAATTTGATCTATATTCGTGTTTTATAATTTATTTCTATTATTACATGTGTTAAATATATATTTTATTTATGCTCTTATTTATTTAAATTTCCTCCAATAATATATATATTATTTCATCAATATTTAAGGCTTTTAGAATGGAAAAAAAAAAAAATTTCAAATTACTTCAGCTTCTATGGAATTAGTGATGCTCATAATATGCATTATAATCTTACTTATCTAAAAATTGCTACCCTACTTTACTTTCGCAGTTCATAAGCAGAAATAAAAATTTCCAATAACATCTAATTTAGTAGACAAAACTTTTCTGCGTCAGGATCCATATCAAATCAAAATCAGCGTCGTAACTCGCGAACTGATTGTTTGGGGCTAAAAATTACAGTGACACCTAGTGGCGGAAAATTGAAATATTTTAAGGATACGCGGCAATGGAAACGCTTGTACGGATGCCGTAGGCGTGTCTTCAATTGGTGCAACGCGTTCGTATGCAGTAGTGGAAACGAGCTTAAGGTCTTACATGCATGCGTCAACGCGACGCATGCGCAGAAAGTTGTAGCCGGATTATAGATCATTCCGGATTATGGTGTCCGAATTAACGACTTTTGACTGTATTTATATCTCCTTAAAAATTTATAAAATACTCATTCCAGAATATTATAATTTTCCCCTTATCCCACAAAAATATATATGAAAAATATCCAAAAATCGCAGATTTTTTTTAACACAACACATAATAAAATTAAAATATAAAACTGTCTTTCATAAAATTCAACGAGCAAACAACGAAAAGTACAATGTTTCAAAATGAGACAGTGATGATATTCTTTGAACATGGGTGTACAAACCTTGCATTAGTCACAGGAGTATAATAGTGCTGCTATTTTACTCAGCAAATTGACTCATTTAGCATTTATATATGTGCTATGGTCAGATAGTGCTTTAGTTTTGCCATTAAAAAATTAAAAAAAAAAAAAAAAAGTAAAATTAAAATACTTTTGCTAAGCGATTACAAAATATTAGTTTCAAAGTAATAAAAAAGTCTCTAATGATAGACATCTACTCCACTATACCCATAAAATAAATAAGAAATATTAATAAATTAAATAAAAGTATTCCAGAGCATCCAGAACATGTTCATGGTTTTATAAATGACGAGTAGAGCGATTACATTACGACACAAACGAATTAGCGATTGTGTATACAGCAAAGTCGTTAATCCGGACTCGTCGGGACTCGGTGATTCCGGATTCTCGATTTTTCCGGATTATAGATCATCAGTTTAAATCTGGTAAGATGGCATCAGAATTATAAAATTAAAAATATGAAACCATAATTTATGAAATAAAGACAATTATGGTCTAAAGGTATCAAAATTTCAAAAAAAAAAAGAGCTTAATATTTATTTTGTTTACTTATTAAACATTTCTTTCAATGTAAGTTGTTTAAGTTGCTTCATTTTTCATGTGATAATACATTCTCCTTAATTCTATAAACACATAATTTCTTGTTTCAGTTACAAAGTTCCGCTGTTCAAGTCCTATAATTGCTTGTGTCTAACCGACTATTTGTCAATTGAAATTTTTGTTTTCATAACCTCTGTTACTTTCTTCGCTATCGGAAGTGAATTATAATGATGAGGAATTTGATTTAAATCATATCAAAGACGAGTACATCGAGAGGAAATACACATTTAGTAAGCAATATAAGCCAAATAAAATAAAAACATCTGCCCTGAAGATAAGGATAGTACTGACAGATCAACTTCCAATTCATGTGCAGCCGCAGTCTAAACAAAGTTAAAGTTAGATAAACAAAGATATGCCTTTATCATTTTTTGAGCAATTCCTTTTGTTTAATGAACTTCGAATATACTTTCGCTTTGTAGATCTTTTACATTATAAATATATATCAGAAATTCTATTTGACATAACGAAAGTTCAAGCTTACTTTTATAAATTGCTCTAACAGTCTGGCAAAAAATAAAGGCAGATCCATTCGAGGATTAAAAACAACGAATCTGCAACATTAACTGAAATAGATAATTTTGCTTGCTTATACCGTCCGTTATACATTAAACGCACACTCGTAACTATTTGCGCACGCGACAGCATATTGCAGCCGTAAAGGTCTTAGCGGCATGCGCAAAATTTGTAGCTTTGAGGTCCGGATTATAGATCATTCCGGATTACGGGTGTCCGAATTAATGACTTTTGACTGTATTCTACCTTTAGATACTGCTTTCGTTTGCCATTAAAAAAAGATACATTTCCCTGACCATTAAAAAAATTCATCTCTAAGCACGAAAAATCTAAGAGTAATAAAAAAAAGGGAAAATATACGAGTAATAAAAAGATCTCTAATGATAGAACGTCTATCCTACTATATCGCAAAAATAAAAATAAAAAGTACCTCAATGAAGTTAGAGCTTGTGCATTTGTTTATGTCAAATGACCCAGTTAAAGAGACATTACATTGCTCAACACCCACCCACGAATCTCACTCTCATTTCGAAACAAAATACAAAAAATAAAAATCACTGCCTAGGAATGAAGGAAAACAACTTCTTGCGAATATTTCCCCATAACAGGCATACAGCTACATCTAGCCGCAACAAAAAATATTAATTAAACGTTCTATGTGAAAAGTCAAATCTGGTATGCCGGGCGTTCGGCCTTTTTCAAAAGTGCACATCAGCGTAGCCACTGAGAGAGGGGTTTCGAAAACTAACCAGTGAGCTTCTACTGCTCTTGTGATGCTAAATCTTCGAGCCTGTGAGCGTATGTTGTTTACGTTTTAACCTTTTCGCAATGGCGCACCTTTGTTTAAGACGCTCGTGCGGGACGGAAGAGAATCAAAGGCAGTCACCGTACAGGACGGAGGTTTTTCATCGCTAAGCTAATTTTATCAAAAGTTCGCTTCTAGCATCGTAAATTTTGGTATCATTTAGATTATACTTGAGCTCTTATATATGTTAAATTAGCCTTAAAAATTTTTTCTTTTTTCTGAAAATATACTTAAAAAATTGTTATCATCTAAAATAATTTTTCAGAACGCTATTCAATTATTCCAAAGTTTTAATTGATAAAATCCATCAATAAGTTTAAAACTAATAAAAAGAACACATAAACTTTTACAGTAAGAAGTACAAAATTTTAAAATGAAACGAGGTGGTAAATCGCGAAGCACAAAGAAGTATTACTTTGTAACTCTTTAGAAAATGAATCAGTACTGTCATTTGCATTAGTAAATGGTTCCTAACCATCTAGGGTATTCTTCCTCTGATAAAAGCACCTTCCCCATATAGACAGGAGGTGAGGTTTTCCTAAATAAAAAAAGGGAACGGAAATTATTGAAGGCATGCAAACGTAAAAAAAACTCCGCACAGAGTAACTCTAAAAGACCATAGTAGAGGAAAAAAATAGAATAAAAAGGAATTGGATAAATCGATACAAGAATGTTTTCATAGCACGCAGCGATTTAAAGAGCCCCCCCCACCCTAGGCTGTAGAGTAAATACCAAGCAGAATATCAAACTCAAGGTCAGGAACCTAAAACTGCGTTCATTTCAAAAGTAATGGACATAGGATGCCAATGGCCTTCAGAAAAACGCTCCAGCTTAAAATGCGTATATGCATCACCCGTCCTCTGAAAGCAATCTCTAGTGATGCGTAGATGGGATGCCCGGCTGTAAGAGACGTTCTTAGGGAATTCGTATATGGGACGCCCGTCCTGAAAGGGTTAATTTGTATTTGTTTCGCAGTTATAAATGTATGGTGTAATAGCAGAAAATCTCGTAGTGCTTTCTTTTTATGAGTTTCATTAATGGCTGACATTTCAATTTCACGATTTTTATCATGCAGTCGCTGACATTTCTTCGTGATTTTTATCATGCATTAATATCTGGAATGATGTTCACGGCGTATTATCTCTCTTTACATCAAGAAAATGACTCAAGCTACAATTAGCGTCGAGTATTATGCATGTACTAACACCTGTGGATTAAGAGAATTCAAGTGTATAATTTTTTGGACTGGAAGTGTTACAATGAATCTAGTGTTTTCTTATTTCAGTGCTTGCATTCTTTTGAATTTTAAAGTGTAAGATTCAGAATACATATTGTGTATGATCTGATTATATCCATTATTAACAGTAAAAGTTAATATGTGAATAAATTGAATATAATTGTTGTGAATAAGATAAATTCATTCAGTTTGATGAGTATTTCTTGAGTACACAGTACACGTAAGAGTGAGCAGTTATTAAATATGAAATTTAACACACTAAAATGTATACGAATCCAAATTAGTAAAGTTCACTTTGAATTTAAAATTCTGCACTGGTTATTAGAACATCTTTTCTATATAGACTGCAATAAAAAGTCCTGACTTCTATTTACATATGTAATTGGTATAAATATTTTTCTCATATGCATAATTTTATGTAAAGATAGCATTTTGGGCTCATGTTTATCACATATTTCTTTCTTCATCTTATTTACCACTTACCAAGTAATATTTCACATAGATATTTTTGCGGAGTATCCAACATTTGTTTGTATTTATTTCAAATTCTTTCAACCAGGTAGTGAAATCTATTGCTTATATTTGATCTAATTTCGCAATGAAAAGTTTCAGAAGAAATCGATGATGCTTTAATTATTTTGTACAGATTAAATTAACTGGCAGAATATTTTCAACCATCTTGCTTAAATCTTAAACCAAGCGAAAGGTCATGTGACATGACAGAAATATTACTCGATGCCCATTGGTCCATCCTAGAAACCACTCCCTCGGTGGCTACACAGATGTGCACTTGTGAAATATGCAGCGGGTAGAGTGAATTAAATGCTGACTCAAATATGACACACCCAGCCGTGAGGTAATGTTCGCTGCTGATGCATATATGACACGCCCATCCTGAACGGGTTAATAATTTAATAATTAAAATTTTATGAAGTACTTTTTCAAGTGTTTGAACCATTATTCATATAACAACAGTAAGAAGTGCTTTAATTTTTTAGAGTATGTTGAGTTATTTTTATTAAATGCATCTCCTATAAAATATTATATTAACTGTCAAGAATTTTAAGATATCTTGGGTCAAAAATACTAATTCAAATCACACATAACATCAAGATAAATGAACATTACGAATAAGATTTCTAAAACTGCCAAGTTTATTCATGCCTAACACACATTCAACTGGCACTGCCAGATCCAAGAACAAGAAGTATAACATAATGAAAGATTTACACCCTCTTTGGCAATTAAAATATATTTCCACGTAAAATTTCTTACATCTCCTTTAAAAAATTTTGCTTAAAATACTTAAATGCTTTATTTCATAATTAAGGCTTAATGTGATATATGCATAAAATACATTATACATATAAAAAAAATATGTATGCTACTGAATGTGTACATACTTCTTCAGACAACATAAGATTAACAAGGCACTGAGTAGCAGCCCTACGTAACATTACATGTTCTTGATACATGTATTCTTCAATTTTAGTTATCCCAGAGTCCTTCAATATTCTCTGCCTGAAAAATATTTCAATACATTTTTTAAAATGGGATAAACTTTCTTGAAATAAAATGCAAGAATTATAGAAATACTAAGTATAAGTAATTTTATGAAACTAAATAATGCATTTCATATATATCAAACAAAAAATTTCATAATAAAAAATAAAAAAAAATTCTCCCCTGGCCCACTAGCGGCCGAGCGGTAAAGACACTGAACACTGGTACTTCGGTCCGAATCCCGCGAACGGGCTGGCTGCATGGGTGTTTTCGTGGTATTCCCCATGTGTAATGTGTATATGAGCCAGTTTCCCTTAGAAAGTCCTCCACGAAGGCATCCCTCCTTTTAGGCGAATAGCCATCGTGTGCTTTGGCATAGTTAAATAATACAATCTATAAAATTTTGATATACAGGAATACACAGAAAACTACATCTAAAATGACATTTTTAATAAGAGAATTATTTGAAATATACTGATATTTTAAAAGGGAAAACATTTTTATATAGAAAATTTATTATTATAGACAAAGAGATATTTAATAAAATTAATTTCGGAATTTCCTCCTTACAACACAAAAAATGTCTTCTTTCTATATACAAGGAATCAGTTACTACTGTTATCTATAAAAAAATATTTTTCTTGCCAATTGCATTGCCCTTTCAAATTGCTACGGCCATACCTGAGGAAAAAGATTTTTTTTCATAACAATATATTATACATATAATAAATCTTAAAATTTTAATCATGTTTTGCTTCCTTGCCCTAATATATCTGGCATAATTTAAAATACATAATATTCATAATTTCTACAAACATCTGCATCACCAACTGGTTAACACATAGTACATGTAATTTAATCTTCCAACTTTCGAACTAAGGGTTTTAGGGTTTAGTTTATTTTTTGTATTTTCTGATTATAGGTACCCCCCTCTGAAATAGTTGACAAGCTAGGAAGCAAAAGACCACAGCCATTTTAAAACATGACAGCGCAAAAGTATTATATAAAAAAACGATCAACAAAATTAAAAAAAGTAAGTATTTTATTATGAATGCATTCACATTTCTTTTAAATTTTGATACTATATTTGGATTATTTGTGCAAACTATATATATTAAGAGCTTTTTTTAATATAAAATCATTATATTTTTTCATTCATTAACTTTACTAAACATATACATATGTAGAACTACAATAATAAAATTCATTCCCAGAATGAAAGCTAATGTGAATGCAGGTGGAGCACATAGTAGAGAAAGAAAGATAACCGAGAAGGAAACTTTTTTGATAAATGAAAGAACATTTTTATAAATAAGCACTGAAGCATTTGATGTAAACAAAACTGTACTCCACCAGCAAGACTATTTTCAAATAAATTTTTATGCTCTTAAATTAACATAAAAATGTATAAATATACTGCAAATTACAAGATCCAGAATTGTCGGGAGTTTGACAATTCCAGATTTCAGAAGTTTCTGGATTTTAAATCTAGTAACATGACATATAGAAATCATAAAATTAAAAATATGAAATAACTAAGCATTTATGACTTAATTTCTTCCAAATCTAATTCTTTCTCTTTTCCCAACTGTTATGCCAAAGCAGAAAACAAACATTAGCAACATTCCACTCCCCCGCCCAAAAAAAATTGTCTTTAAGCTTCAGTTATTCAGTCAGATAGAAAAATATTAACCTCTCAAACAGTGGTGGCACCTCTATTTGTGCACATGAGCATGCAAAACCACAAAGAAAAACGAAAAAGTAAAACAAATTAAAAGAAATAATACACTTCCAGAATTTTGTCAATTTCCAGGTGGAGTTTCTCCTCCTTTTTTAAATACGCAAACATAGCTAATGTACTAAATTATAGGTTACTGTAGTCCAGAGTACTTGGTTTCTCCCTTGATCGCATACGAGATTGAAGAAATGCCCTTGCAAACTATTTGATAGCATCAGAAGTGGGCAGAGGAGTGGGAGGGAAAAGGCACCGCCGATACCATTCCATTCACGCATCCTCAAGGTGCAGGAGCTTGCACTTTTTGCAGTTACCTCGTCTGAATTTTCCTTTGGCCTACTAAATTTAGTTACTTCGTTTTTCCGTTTGCTTCTTATTTTTTTAATTGTTATCATTTTTGGTATATATATTTTTATGAATCTGTGTAAACAGTTAAGATGACACTTAGTAAAATCATTGTTTCAAAATTAAAGCAAATGAAATTTTCAACGTTGTCTTTGGGGAGAGGGGAGGGACTAAAATGAAATTACTCAGGCTAACACCTTTGCTGAACCTTATCCAAGTGACAAAACTAAGATTACAGATTTCAAAAGGAATTCAAATCCGATTTACATAAGAAACGTTGATGGATATGTGGATGTGAATCAACTAAACAGGCAGTTTTGTTTTCCATGTCTCCCATTTGGAAAACAGAATAATGATTCAAGTTGGTTGAGCTATAGTGTTCATGATTTATCAAATTTAACTCAGAAAATAAAAAAAGCAAGAATACTCACAGTCACAATTCAAATGTCAAAAGACACAATTTCAAGGTTGCCAAAAATCATTATCCTCTAATAAAAATTATAGCTGTATCCTGTTTTGTAGTATATTTGGGACTAGACTTTCAGGATATAACATAACGATTCATTAAATCCGGAATATTTCAGAGGTCGTATCAACTTCTCAGCAGAACTTGATTCATCTCTTAAAGACCATCTCATGAATGCCACTGTATTTAAGGGAACGTCAAAAGCAATTCAAACTCATTTATTAGATTGCATACTCACTGTCTATCAGAACTACATGAAAAAGGTTTTGTTTTAACAACAGCACATAGAACTACTAACATGTCATCCACTTCATTTCTTGATACATTTTGAGTAACTGGCGACCAGTTCAGAAATTCTGAAAATCATGAATCTACCTGGGCATGATGCAAAATCTATAGTTGAATATCCAACCAAGTTTGGGAAAAGTAGCACTGAAGAAATTAATAATGTAGAGCTATGATAGTGCAAGCATGATGAGCAGACATTGTGGTGCTGTTCAAGTTTCTAATCAACATACCTACAAGAATGCACAATTTGTAATTCTGCACTAATATGCACATGTTCAGTTCAATTTAACTGTTGAGCAAGCAACCAGTCAGAATCAGCAAGTTCGAATATTTTTGAATCCAAGTGATATTACTGACTTTTTTAATAACTCTCCACAAAGAATTTCTTTCTAGATGAAATTGTTAGAAAAAAGATACCTCATGGTTCAGGTACTAAATGGAATGGAGTCAAACTATTAATGCAGTGCATGAATACAGCGAACAGTTTATTGAATACATGGGAAAAATAGAGCAAATATCTAAACAAGCTGTAGCAATAAATCAAGCAGGGGCTATTAGCCATATGTTAAAGGACTTGGAATTTGCATTTTGGTTTACACTGTTTTACAATATTATGCTACATATCGATGTGTTGTAAAACCAGTATCAGATAATACTGACTGATGCAACACTTATTAGAAAGCAAGTAAATGCTTTCCAGCAGTCATTAGAGAAAAAAAGTAGGAGAATTCAAAATTTTTTGGTGAAATATTTCAGTTTGCGCCAAGAGTAATACACTTGGTGAACTTTTTAATATGTGGCAACCAATTTTCCTTTCCCTTCCATTATGCCGGAACAGAAAAAAGATGCACCTCATTCCTACTTTTTTACATTGTGCATGAGTGGAAAAAAAGTCACATCATTTCTACTTCCAAATAATTTTAGCAAAGTGTCTAAATCACATTTGATGTTTTATTGCTTTCAACAAACATGCCAAATTTCAAAATGGGCCAATATATAAATTCACATATATCTTTGGAAATTTTGAATAAAAAACTGTAATTTTTTGCAAGTATGCTTAGAAATATATCTTCGTTAAGAGGACAGTAAAATTTTTATAGATTATAATTCAAAAATTTTTTGAAAATTTTATAAAAATTATTGAAATTTTTTATATGGGTGAATTTTATTTGGAAGAACCTAAATTTTGAAATATGAAAGGAAGAATCACATATTTCATAAAAAAAAGAATCGTAATAAATATATACCAAACTCAATTAACCGCTTCCTGATTATCCGCGAGTTTGAATATATTTAAATTATTATTATCCCGAGAAAACCGGGCGAACAAAATTTGTTATTACTTTTTGTTTATCACGGTTTTACTCGTCTGGAGAATGAAAGGAAATATTCAGCTTTGATTGGCAGTTTGCCAAATTTTGTGGTGCGCGGTTCTTTGGAGGGACTGGTCGCGTGTTTCCCTATTGTTATAGTATACGTTGGTTGTGGATTAGTAATGTATAAAGAAGGATGCATACATTGGAAAAAAATAAAATAATGGCGATGATGGAAGATAGCGAAAGCGATGATTTTTCAGATAGTGATTATGAAAAGGTGGGGGAAAAAATAATAAAAAAAATTAAATCCAACGAGACAGTGTACTCTGTGCTCCCGTGAACGAGATTCCAGTGGTTAGCCAGTAAGAAAAGATACCAGATACCAGTGTAGAATGTTGTCCCTTGTTTCAAAAACTATCATACAAAGATTAATATTTAACTTTTTTTCGTTTGCCCGTGATAACTCGGGATAGTAAACTAATATTAAAAATAAATGCTTTTCAACCTTCAAAAAAATAAAAATTCAACTTAAACCCTACATATTTTGATTTGTTTCGTTTTGTTGTATATTTAATAATAAAATAAAAAAATGTGATGATTTTCTGCAATTTTTTTTTCAAAAAAATTTGTAAGGGAAGCGGTTAACATTGAGGAGCTAAAATTCTGAGAGCTAATTTTTTAAAAACTACTCGTACGATTTTTATAAAGCTTGGTAGTTTGGCATAAGTTGAGTCGTAGAATGGAAATATGGAAAAAAATTGCTTTGTTTTTCCAGAAAAAGTCAAATTTTGTGTCAAAATACCTATATTAGAACGATGCTATATTTAAATCTAATACATATTTTAAGTCACGCTTTTGAGACATAAAGAACGCAAGTAGTTGAATTTCGTTAATT